CTGCTGCCCCGCCGTCCGTTTCCCAGCGCCCACTCTCCTGGGGCTCGGCCTCCGGCTTCGGGGAGTGCCCAGCCCAGCCGGGACTGGTTCCTGCCCGGAGCCTGCCCGCGTCGGCCGCCCGGGCTCCACACTCACCCTGTCAGGCATCTTCCTGCGGGCTGGGAACCCAGAGCAGGCTTCCCGGTCTCCGCTCCGTCTCCAGGAGCAGCCCGGGCTCGTTGCACAACCCCTCACCTATGATGGCCATTCCGACTTAGGACTGCGGGTCCCGCATTTGCCCCAGGATGAAGTCCAAACAACACAGCAGGGCTCAGGGGCGCGACCTGACCCAGCCCTGGCTCTCTGGGGCCCCTCTTGCTGACCCCTCTTCCTGCCACGTTCTGCCATAGTTCGAAGCCTGCGGTTCCTGGAACTCTTTCACCTCCAGTTCTTAGTCCCTGCTCCTCCACCTGTCCAGTCCTCTGGCACCTGGTCACTTGAACCACACCTTCCTTCTGGCAGCTTTCCCATTCTGGCTGGCTGGGTGAGGTGCCATCACAGGCAGTCATATGTAGGTGTCTTAAAGTGTTGCAGTTATCTGGTTGTTTGTTGGTCCTCATAAGACCTAGCTGGGGGCTGAGCAGGGTGGCATTCACCTGTAATTCCAGCAACTTGGGAGGCTGAGACAGCAGGACAGCAAGTTCAAAGCCAGCCTCAGCAATTAGATCCTGTCTCAAAAAATACAGAAGTCTGGGGGTGTAGCTCAGTGGTAAATATGCCCTGGGTTTGAAAAGACAAAAATAAAAAAAGCCCTACTGAGGTGCATGTCATGGCAATAGTTGGGGTTCTGGGTGCCAGGCATGTGTTCCCAGTAAGTGAGACATCTGGGTGTGCACTGCCCAGTTCAACCCATCAGTGACACACAGGAGGTCCCAGCATCTTGACTTGAAGATGCTGGGCCTCTTCCTTAACAAACTGGTGGACCCTAGAGGCGCTTTGTTATCTTCCTGTGGCTTCCTCTTCTCCTGCCCCTTAACACTGAACACCCAGTCAGCAAATTGTTGAGCCAAAGTACATAGTTACTGGTCCTGCCTACTTCGTGTTTCTACTTAAGTGGCCGGGATCTGGTTAAACTTGTGAATAAAAGCAGTGGTGAGTACCATGGAGACTAGCCTGGAACTGTGAAAGTGTAGGAGCAGTCCCGGCAGGTGTGGAGGATCCAGAGAGCACTGGGAGTGAGATGCGGGGAGGAGAATGACCAGCAGGTTGGGGGGTGCTCAGGGTGACAGAGATCCTAAGACAGGATGTAGGTGTATGTCTTCTGGAGAACTGAGAGCAAGGTAGTGAGACCTGAGAGGTGGTCTGAGCCTAACTGTAGGTCTATCAGGCAGGTGGTACAGAGGGATGGGATCTGGGAACAGTGGGAGGCCACAGGACACCCTAGAAGGAAAGTGGCTTGGCAGTCAGATTTGTGGTGGGAAGCCTGGCGCGATGGTGCACGCCTGTAATCCAGTGGCTCGGGGGCTGAGTCAGGAGTATTGCTAGTTCAAAGCCAGCCTCAGCAATTTATCAAGGCTCTAAGAAACTTAGTGAGACCCTGTCTCTAAATATAAAAAGGGCTGGGGATGTGGCTCAGTGGTTAAGTGCCCCTGGGTACAATCCCTAATACAAAAAAAAAATTGTGGTGTGAAAAGATGGATGTCCTGGAGGGACGATGCTTGCTGAAGAGAGACTGCTGCGAGTGGAGGCCGTTGCCCCAGTCTAGGGCAGGGTGCTGGAGGAGGGGAAAAGGTAGTTGCTGGTGAGGGTAGAGGAAAGTAGAGCCATCAGACCTGGGGACAAATTAGATTGGATCTGGAGGGTGGAGACTGTCCTTATCAATCTGCAGGATTGCTAGGGGCCTCCAACCTGCTCACTGAGTACTCAGACTAGCCTTTCTCCAGGATTGAGACCCCCTCCAAGCCACCTGTCACCAGCGGAACACCCCTGGTGGAGAGTATGTTGATGCTGACATTTCTCAGTCTTGACATTGTGGATATTTGGGCCTGGGTCATTCTCTAATGGGGCATCCTGGCCAGCAGGGTGCTGAGCAGCCTCACTCTATTCCAGGAGCACCTCCAGTTGTGACAATCATAGATATCTTCAAATAGCATCAAGTGTCCCCTGGTGGGGGATACCTCTGTTTGAGTGCCAGCATCATCGACTCTCCCTCTGAAAAGGACTTTACATGAGGCTTGCATTCTGCCCTGTGTTGTCCTTGTGTCTCCCTGGCTCTCACAGCTCTCCTCCTTGTGCCACTGGATCCTGTGACTGGATATGGCTCTCTCCAGACCCTGCCCATGTCTCAGTTCCAGAGGAACAGATGTATTTCTGCCCCACCCCAGCTGAGTCTGTGGGCCTACAGTTTCATATGCACTAGTGTGTGATCCCATTTGCCTCTGAACCATGTCCTGATGGCCCAGTGTTCTTCATGCTGTGACTCAAAACTGGGCATAACCAGGTATTCTCTGTGGAAATTGAGCTGTGTGTTTGTTGCCCTTGTTCTGTTTGCAAAGGAAACACAGTGGGTGCATAGGTTTTCCTCAGACCTGTGTTTTCTTGGTCTGTGGTCTGGGACTCCCTATGTGGTGGAAATTGCTTTGGCACTTTAGCTGTTGTTGGTTTAACACATTTCATGGCATCCTGCAAGAGGAGTAATGTCTGAATCCCCAGTCCAAGCCAGGAATTATCTTCCAGTTAACTCTTCCTTTCATTTGTGTCCCCTGTGAGGCAAGTGACATCCACATTTGTACAGGAGGACACTGAGGCCCAGGGATGTTCAGTGAGTCACCCGAACTTAGTGAGACCCTGTCTCTAAATATAAAAAGGGCTGGGGATGTGGCCCAGTGGTAAAGTGCCCCTGGGTACAATCCCTAGTACAAAAAAAATCGTGGTGTGAAAAGATGGATGTCCTGGAGGGAGGATGCTTGCTGAAGAGAGAGGTTGTGGAGCCCTAAGGTCTAGTGCTGGAGAAGGAGTTCCAGGCTCCCTAGGCCCCACCCTTCCACCCGCCTGCCCCAAGCACAGGGAAGAGCCATTGTTCCCAGCTCAGTGGCCGCTGCCCAAACTGAGCCTTTGTTTACTGATTTCCTTTCTGGACACCAAGGTCCTGTGAACTCACAGGGACGCTGTAGTAGGGGAGGAACTTGTGTACTCCTGGGTCCCCTCAATTCGAGACCTGTGCATTCCTCGGCTTCTCTTGTCATCTGGGGGTGGCCAGATGAAAGATTGCACAGAGATGAGCTGGGGAACGGTCTGGACAACAGGATGGACAGAATCCTGGGCGTGAGGAGGTCTCCCTGGACTCAGCTAGGGGTGTGTGCTGGCGGGACGGGTCTGATGGCCTGGCATGTCCTACAGGCCATAGCTGGGTGGAAATGGCAAGAGTTGGGGATTACAACCTGAGGAGGGGTGCCAGGAGGCTCCTTCTGGTGTGGGCTGGGGCTGGGCCTGGGCCTGGGCCTAGACCTGGGGATGGGGCTGGGCCTGGGCTGAGGCTGCCTGTGTAACAGTCTGAGCAGGAGAGGATCAGACTGGGCCATGAGGATCTGCGATGAATGGGTTTGGGACTACACTTTCCCACCTGGCACAGGTTGGGCCCCCAGCTTCCCTGAAGGAGCCCACATTTCTGTGTCCCCTGCAGGGTTTCCCACTGCACGACGACATGGAGACCTGTGGCCGCAAGGCTCCTGGGGGCTCAGCTTGGACGGCAGTGGGGCTGGGCTGCAGCCTCCTAACGGGGCTTTTGTCTGGGGTGGTGGCCTGGGAGACGCCCTCCCCACTGCCTGCATCTTGGAGCACCCCTGCATCTCCCCTGCCAAGTGAGGCTGGGCAGCCTTGTTGGTGGGTGCCCCTGAAGAGGCCCAGTGAAGGGCCCGGCGCCCGCCATGAACGGCCTGTCAGTGAGCGAACTCTGCTGCCTCTTCTGCTGCCCACCGTGCCCTGGCCGCATTGCTGCCAAGCTCGCCTTCCTGCCTCCAGAGCCTACCTACTCACTGCTGCCTGAGCCTGAGCCAGGGCCTGGAGGGGCTGGAGCTGCCCCCTCAGGGTCCCTGAGAGTCTCTGCCGGCACCCCAGGGCGCTGGAAGGTCCACCTGACTGAACGTGCTGACTTCCAGTACAGCCAGCGTGAACTTGACACCATCGAGGTCTTCCTGACTAAGAGCACCCGTGGCAACCGCATCTCCTGCATGTATGTGCGTTGCGTTCCTGGTGCCAGGTGAGAGCTGGAGGGTTTTTTGGGATGGGGTTGGGAGCAGGCAGGCCTGCACCTGGCCCAGGGTGCTAAGAATGGTACTTGGCATGGTGGTAGTAGCCTCCCCAAGTGCCAGAGCCAGGATGAAAGGCCATCTAGTTGGCATGGGCGTGGGTTCCCTTAGCCTCCCTGTCTTGATTCCTGTTACCAGTGGAGCTACTGCCCAGATTTGGGCAAGAGCAGGTCCCCCACATGTGCTGCTACAGAACTACCTCAGGCCCTCAGTGCAGGGCCTTTCCGCGTGCAGTCCTCAGGAGAGCCCCCCTCCCCCCGTGTGCTGCCTCTTGGGGATGAGGACACAGGCTCAGGGTGGGCAAGCCAGGTGATTCAAGTGGAACTCTAGTGATTGCCCTGCCACCTGCTCTCAAGGGTCATATCTCCCAAGCTCTATCCAGAGGGGTGAGGCAGAGGTGGGGCAGTAGGCCTTCCTACAGGCAGGGATCTGAGTCCAAAGGGCAAGCTATTACCTTTGTGCTGGGCTGGTACTGCCAGAGGAAGCTGCCCATGGGCCAGGGCCAGGACCTGCCTGGTATTTGCTCTTGTTTGACTTACAGCAAGGCCTCATCCCACCTCAGGTCTTATAGGAGGGGCACAGGCCTCTGTGAGCAGCATTGTCTTTATTCATGTGTGGGGTTTTGGGTGGGTCCCAGCTCACAGCAGTGCAGCTCCTGGTCTAGGTAGGTTCCTAGCAGTGGCAGGAGTGTGAGCACCCCAGGGACTATCAGGCCATTCCAGGAGAGTTTCTGCAGCAGAGATGGCCGCTGTCCAGTGGGGCTGGAAGTGGTAACTGCTGTAGCTTGCCAAGCTCACATTGTGGGTCTCCCTTCAAATGGGCAGGGAAATAGTGTCAGGGGTAGGTTCAAAGTGAATTCTCAAAAGAGGGCTTTGGGAAATCTGGGTGCAGTGGTGCACGCTCATAATCCTAGTGGCCCAGGAGGCTAAGGCAGGATTGTGAGTTCAAAGCCAGCCTCAGCAAAAGTGAGGCCCTGTCTCCAAGTAAAATACAAAAAAGGCCAGGGGATATGGCTCAGTGGTCGAGTGCCCCTGAGTTCAATCCCAGTCTCCTTCACCCCCCCCCCCCCCCAAAAAGAAAAAGAGGGCATTGGGAACTGTCTCTAGTTGAGGTGCCGGGTTCACCCTCTTCATTGAGGCCCTTCAGGCCCAATGCTCATTTCCATGGAGCAGGTGGGATCTGAAAAGGACTGTAGGAGCAGCAGCAAAATGGCAGAGGTAGGAAGGTTCCAGAGGATGTTGCAAACTTGATTCACAAAGTGGGCGTAGGATTGTCTCCCAGCTGAGGTGGCATGCTCACAGTCTTCGTTTTGGCCTATTGGGACCAGTGCTCATTATTGCTGAGTATGTATAATTTAAAAACAGCTTATGTGAGCACTAGTGGAAAACGGGTGGCAGAGGTGTTCCCGAGGCAGGCCTCACTGAATCCACAGTTCACATGGGGCATTGTCCCATTCAGCCCAGGCTCACCTTCTTCATTTCAGCCCTTTTTGGCCAGTGTGTGTTATGGCTGAATATGTGCAATTAAAACTAGCTTGATGGGGCTGGGCTGGGGCTCAGTGGTAGGCCCTGGGTTCTTCCTCAGCACCACATGAAAAACATAAAATAAAGGTATGAAAAATGCAGTTATAAAAAAAAAATAAAAACAGCTTGAAGGTGCAGCAAGGAAACGGTGGTGTAGGGAGATTCCAGAGGAAGTGTCAAACTGAGTTTTCAAGGTGGGCATTGAGAATTACCCCTCGTGCAAAACCAGTGTCACTGTGCTCATTTTGGCTGAATATATGCAGTTTGAAAAGAGCTTATGGTTTGTCTGAAGCATTCCTTTCAGAGGAAGCCTGACATCATGGCCAGCCAACCCAGTGAGAAGAGCTGGCCATTCTGCAGCCCAGGTGGTTTATGCCCTGGCTAATGCTCTTGTCTTGTCCCTGTTGGAACCTTGGAGGTGGAGCTGGGCCATCTTTTTTTGCCTTGCCCTTGCTGGTTGTGTGGTCATTTGGGAGGGAAGTAGATGAGGTGACAGGTGCCTCTGGCTGCCAGGATGGACTGTCACAAGTCCTCTGCCCTGGGACAGTCTCCCCAGGCCAGGCCTGTGCTCCCGTCCCCCTGACCTGTGCCCCCAGGTACACAGTTCTCTTCTCGCATGGCAACGCAGTGGACCTGGGTCAGATGAGCAGCTTCTACATCGGCCTGGGCACCCGCATCAGCTGCAACATCTTCTCCTATGACTACTCTGGCTATGGCGTGAGCTCAGGCAGGCCCTCCGAGAAGAATCTCTATGCAGATATCGATGCTGCCTGGCAGGCCCTGCGTACGAGGTGAGGGCCACAGGTCAGCTGTTATGCTCCCCAGGGAGTGACCAAGCTTTCTTTGGGGGGAGAGGAAGTGGGTACCAGGTCCTGCTGGGTGGACCTTCAAGAGAGATCTGCAGAGGCCTTGGGGTGTAGTTGCCCATCTCCTTTTGACTGAGATGGGGCCGGGCTGGCCTGGGATTGGGGAGCAGCTGCTCCTGGGTCCTCATTAGACAACAGCTGTCTAAGGTCAATGAAGCTCTGCCAGGTATGAGAGGCTGGACAGAGGACACTGGGATCAGAAGGTGGTAGTTGAGAGCTGTGTGAGACAATAACTGGAAGCCTGAGACACAAGGGCCCCTTAGGGTACAGGGTGGGCGTGGCCTGCTCTGTCTGGATTGGGGTTGTGTGACTGGAGCACAGCTCATCCTGGGGCAGTGGGCAGGTAGGTCTTGCAACTGAGTCTGGAGGACTTTGTCCAGCACTTTGGAGCCCAAGTTGGTTGGGGGATCAGTGGGTATGGGCTTCAGCTCACACCTGAGGTCTGGGCCAGCCTGTCTCCAGACTCTTAGTCATGTGGTCCTTCTGTCCATATCCTGCTCTCCTGGTCATCCAGGTCCCAGGCAGTCCTCCCTGCCCCACCTCAGAGTGGTACACACTCTGCCCCTAAACCAGTGTTTGCAGAGTGCAGCTTCATCTTAGCACTGTTGTAGAGGGTGGGCAGCCCAACCCAGTCCTCCTGCTCGGGGATGCCCACCTTGACCCTTCCTGGCTGACTGGTTTGACCCCCTCTGGTAGGGCACAGGTGCAACTGGGAAGTTAGCAGCCCAAGGGAGGTGGGAGCCCTGGTCACCATGGAGATGTGCCAGGCAGTTCCAGAGCCCAGTCCCCTAGCACTTGGCACTGGGGACCTATCTGAGCATACCTTCCCCTGTGGCTCCTGTACAGTGTTCTCAGCTTGCTCACTTCTGTCCCCACTGCCTCAGGCACTGGCAGAGTCACAGCCCAGTGGGGGGTATGAGACTGTTCATCTGTCCTGTCACCTGCACTGTCCTGTTCTCTTACTCCACAGGGACCTGTTGTCTTACCTCCACAGCTGTGAGTCAGTGGGAGGTAGGGAGACCTGGGGACAAAGACCCGCTCCATTCAGGACAGGCTTTTTTTGTCCAAGCACTCAGCACAGTAGTGGCCATTGAGGCTGGGAGCAGGCCAGTGAGCCTGAGGCAGAGCTGGGGGTCTGGGCACAAGCTGGGGACCTGTATTGGTGGCCTTTGGGTGGGCAAAGAGATAGAGTCAGATTTCCATGTGGATTGTCCAGGTAGAACACAGGATGGCCTCTGTGCACCAAGAAGGGTGGCCCCTTGGAACCAGGCTCAGGAGCTTCTGGGAGGAGAGCTGTGGCATCCTGTATGGGGAGGGTAGCCAGTGAGTCCCCACGTGGGAGCCAGTGTAGTGCTAGATCAGCCAAGGCAGAGCAGATGGGCTGCACATGGACCTGCTGGATGTGCAGAGTGCGGAGGGGCCAGGCCCAGAGGTGGGAGCTTGTGGTGGAAGGCCATCTGGGTCCTGGCACCATTGTGTGGATGAGGTGGCATCCACCTGCTGCAGCCACCTCCACAACTGCTTGTCTGTGTTGTACCAAGCCCTTAGTTGGGTACTGGGGGCCCCAAAACTTGGCTTAGACATCCAGGGACACAGCCACCTAAGTTCCTAACAACCAGAGCGGCTGAGAAGGGTGCAGAGGAGGAGAGCCCCACTACCTTACATGGGCAAAGGCTTTTTGTTCAGGAACCAGGGGTCCTGAAGCTGGTTACCGTGTAGCGGCAGCAGGCTGTACCTAGGTCTACTCTGATCAAATGTGGGGGGAGGGGGAGAGAGGGAGTGGTTAGGTCCTGCCCTGCACCCCCAGCTCCCTCACCAGGTATGCCTCCCCACAGCGAGTCCCAGTACATGTAGGAACACAGGGAGGAGGGTGGGTGCTGAGGCTGCCTCCAGCGCTATGTACCTATTTCTGGGAGGAGCGCAGAGACCTGCCCTGGTCACTGTGGGGGCTGCCTCAGGCCTAGGTTGACCTTGTCCTGGCCACCGCCAGGTACGGCATCAGCCCGGACAGCATCATCCTGTACGGGCAGAGCATTGGCACAGTGCCCACAGTGGACCTGGCCTCGCGTTACGAGTGCGCTGCGGTGGTGCTGCACTCGCCACTCACCTCGGGCATGCGCGTTGCCTTTCCTGACACCAAGAAGACCTACTGCTTCGATGCGTTCCCCAAGTGAGCCAGGGCACGTGGGGGTGGAGTGGGTAGTGCTGAGGGGCAGGGAGGGGGCTGGGCTGGAGCAAACAGCTGACCTGCCCTGCCTGGCCCCATTCCGCAGCATTGAGAAGGTGTCCAAGATCACATCGCCCGTGCTCATCATCCACGGCACGGAGGACGAGGTGATCGACTTCTCCCATGGGCTGGCGCTGTACGAACGTTGCCCCAAGGCCGTCGAGCCACTGTGGGTGGAGGGCGCTGGGCACAACGACATTGAGCTCTACAGTCAGTACCTGGAGCGCCTACGCCGCTTCATCTCCCAGGAGCTGCCCAGCCAGCGCGCCTAGCGGCTACCTGTGCACCACTGCGCCGGGACCTCAGCAATAAGGCAGCCGCCTGGACTTGTCCTGCTGCAGCCCTGGGGGCTGCATGTGGACCCCCAGGACTCCCAGGCAGCAGGCAGGCAGCCGTGACCCCGCCCCGGCCCAGGGGCCATGGACATTGTACAGGAGATAGAGCTATGCTCTCTTCCTTTTGAAAGCAAAAAGAAGAAAAGACATGAAAACAAATTAAAGATTTAAGATTTTAGGGTTCCTTTCCTTTTTGTGGTTCATACGCTTTCCGGGTCTTCGTGAGCTCCAAGAGGAGCAGGGATTCCAGGGTTCTTGGCTTTAGCACACACCAGAGAGGCTGGTTAAGCCCTGTTCCAAGGGCAGCCCTTGCAGCAAACTGCTTGTGGTTAGTTGCAGCTTGCTCTGGGGGAGCCCATTTTGGACCCAGAAGTGCCAGGCTCCTCAGGCCCAGAACTGGGACCTTGCGGCTTCCTTTGCAAACGGAGAACAGATTCCAAGAACAATGGCTGTTCCACGGATCTCCCTGGGGAGCCAGTTTTGAGGTTTGGGGTGGCAGGGAGCACTCCTGTTAGGATCCATCCAGTTCTGGTTCTTCTTGCGTTGTGTTCTCCAGGTCTTTCCATGCCCTGCGATCTCTAGGGCAGGAGCCCTAGAGCGAGAAGGGTCAATCACCCACTTTGGCCTCGGTCATCCCCTCAGCCTGTGCCCGCGACCAGGCAGGCGGTGGAGAGACCAAGACCTAGATCTGGCTCAGCCTAGCTACAGTTTGCGGCCCCTTTAAGGACCTGCGTACCTAAGCCCGGGGGGTTGGGTGGGGAAACGGGAGCAGGGGGCGTGGCTTTCAGGTCAGCGGAAGCGGAAGCGGCGCAGCGCGCTTTCGGAAGTGGATTCCGTGGCCCTGGGACCGTGGTAAGTGGCTACTCCTCGCTCTCCGCCGGGGCTGCTCCGGGACAGCCTCTGCCCGGCTCTGCGGTTTCCTCGGTGTGCGGTCCGCGAGTCCCGCGGATGGGAGCGCGGTGGGGCGCGTCCGTGCCGGGGCTCGCCGACCGGCGCCTCCCGCCGCCTGGCGCCGTCAGACCCGGCCCTCAGCGCCGGGGAGCGGAGGTGCGTGCGGGCACCCGGCCGAAAACTCGCGGAGCCCGGGGGCGTCTGGAGCCTACGTGGAGGCGTGCTTCCCCGTGCTTCCCGCGGTGGCTCTCACGGCCGGCTTCCCCGGGGCGGGGCGGGGCCCTTCCTTTCCGTCAGGTGCGCACGCACGCACACCTGCGAGGGTGTCCGCGAGAGGAGCGTCCCTCTGCTAGGGCGCTGGACGTGCTGGGAGTGGACGGCGTCCTCGGACACAGGCTCCTTTCGTTTTAATGGCTGCCCGGTATTTTTCTAGTACGGGTTCACTTATCCTGTTTCCTGTCGGTAGAAACGTGGGTTCTTTTCAGCCTTCCGTTAGGAAGAGCAATGATCCTATTGGGGTTAACTAGAATTTTTTTTTAAATTTTATTTTTTAAAGGTTTTTCTTTTATGATTTTTTATATATTATTATATTTTTTTTAGTTTTCGGTGGACACAAAAATCTTTATTTTTATGTGGTGCTGAGGATCGAACCCAGCGGGGCGCGCCTTCCAGGCGAATGCGCTATGGCTTGAGCCACATCCCCAGCCCTGATTTATGTTTTATTACGTATTTATTTCTGGCTGCTGGGCTTGGATCCCAGAGCTCCACTCCAAAGTATTGGTCCTACCACTGAACCACACACCTGGCCTATTCTTGTCATCCTACTCCAGCAGGAATATTTCTTTGGGCTCAATTGCTCACCGCGGAAGTGCTAGGTCAAAGGACATTGTGTAGATGAGGAAGGTGCCCAAGTTGTCCCCTCCACACAACACAGGAGACGTTTGGTGTTCCTGAGGCTTTGTTTTGCAGATGTGGTAGGCATAAAATGGTATGTCATTGTAGCTTCATTTGAAATTCCTGTAATTAACTTTTTAGAATACTAATGTCAGGTCATTTTGATGTTAGTAGTTCCTACCACTATTAATATTTTGAAATCGGAAAATATGTCTTTGTTATAAATATGTATATATTTAAAAGCCATTTGTATTTCATATTATTTACCCATTTTTGAATTGGGTCTTGGTGTCATTTTGAGGGAACAATTTATATATTAGGGAAATTAGTCTTTTTGTTGTCAAAAGTGTATCCTCCATCTTTCATTTGTCTTTGTAGGTTTGTTTTTTTTTTTTTTTTTTAATGCCAGGTATTTAAAGTTGTTATTAGTTTTTCACCATGGCTTCTATGTTCTGAAAAATGATCAAATACAAGATTATAAAACACTTGGTAGTTTCTTTTAGAGATGAAATGACTTCTATATGTATATTTTATACTATACATTTAGATTTTTTGTCTAATATTAGACAAAAGAATACTGTCTAATATTAGAAAATTAAGGAGCAAAACTTATTTCCGAATCACTTGCTTTGACTTAGTTTTTTCCAAAACATTTTTTCCTCCATGTCCTGTTGCGTGCTGAGGCTGGACTGGCCTGTTCCTCAGCGAGCTAGAACCCCACTGCCTAGCTACATATGTCCAGAGGACCTTTTCCCCTCCTTTTCTTGGGCAGGTTTCTTTTTTGTCAGTGACACCAGGCGAGTTCATCTTGTTTCCCTGCCCTGTTTTTTTTTTTTTTTTTTTTTCCTAATTGGGATTGCTTAGATTTGTAGATTAAGTTGCAATAAAAGTGCCAACTCGAATACTTGGTGCCTTGTACGGAGTACTTGTAATGCTCATTCTAGTAGGTGCTCTGTGATAAGAGGAACCCGAGGGCTTCCCAGCTGTGCATACTGCTGTTTGGGATGCCCTTGTGGCTGGTGTGAACTTGGCTCTCTGTCCCTTCAGTCGCACTGACAGGCACCTGTGGCACACACATGGCCAGCTCAAGGCACTGTTTTCTCTGGGGCCTGCTCATTTCACCTGAGCAGTCTATTCCAGGAAGCACCTCCCCCTTCTGCTTCCAATCGCCAGGATTCCTGGGAGGAAGGCCAACTTCCAAATCTCTATTTTGTAGATTTTCCAGGATACACTTGTTTATACCCCAATAGCAGCAGTGTCTCCTAGCCCAGAGGCTGATTCATGGGCCCTCCCTATGTCATCTGTCATCAACACACTTCAGACAAGATCTCTGAGGGCAGAGATCAGGTTCTGTTCCCTGGCCCACCAGCCAGGTGACCCTGTGGCCTAGACATGCTGTGGTTCTTAGAGACCCATGGACAGGACCTGTCCAGGAAGACAGGCCCACCCCAGGAGGACACAAGCCCTTATAACTGGCCATATCTGAGGCAGCACCTAATGCCACCACCTCTGGCTCCTCCCTGGGGACCTGAGTGCCCCAGGCTGGCATTCCATCTGGGTTCCAGCACCGGGGGCCACCGTGCTTCTCTCCTTCACTGGCAGCTGCAGGTCGTGGTGTCTTCCCATGACACTGGGCTGGCAGGACCCACACCGTGGTCTCGGCTCTGCCTGGACATAGGATGGAGAGGTTGGATGCTCCCTGGGGTTCTGTCCCCTCCTCCACTCGCAATGGCCTCTGGTTGGACATGAGCCTCTGGGGCAGTGCCACCTCCTTCCTCCTTCAGGGCACTGTGAACCTGGTTGCAGGAATGCGTGCTCCCCAGGAAGGGCTGGTCTGTCTGTTCACCTGGGTCCAGGTGCTGGCCAGGGGTTGGGGTGCAGGACTGACCTGTTGACTGTGTTGGTTCAGCCAGGTGGGCCCCCACCCTGCATCATGTGGCCCAGGGGCCAGCCTGAGTTTCTGGTCTACCTCCTTCCCATTTTGAAACTCCTGCCACAGATCATGGTGGTCTTCCATTGGCTCCAAGAGAGAAACCCTCCAGAACTCTTCAGAACTCCAGAACACAGGAGCACATGTGGCTTGGGAAAAACACTTTGACACACATCTGCAAGCTCTATACTGCCTGTCCCCAGAACCTGGTTCAGAGCAGGCACAGACAGGGTCCGTGCATACAAAAGGAAAGGGGTTCTGAGGCAAGGCCCTGGCCAGGGTCACTCAGGGTGTGCCCATCCCAAAGCTGTGAAGTGCACCACTCTAGGTGGTGCCCTTAAAAACTTCCAGCTGGGCTGGGGATGTGGCTCAAGCGGTAGTGCGCTCACCTGGCACGCGTGCGGCCCGGGTACGATCCTCAGCACCACATACCAACAAAGATGTTGTGTCCGCCAAAAAACTGAAAAATAAATATTAAAAAAATTCTCTAAAAACAAAAAACAAAAACTTCCAGCTGCCTGAGGACTGAGGCAGGAGTATCGGGACATAGACCAGCCAGGGGAACACAGCAAGACCCCATTCCCCCAACCCCCGGAAAAGAAAAGTCCCCAAACCCCTGTCCACCTGACCCTGTTATAGCTGGATAGTTCTTAGGAGGGTGGGGGGCCAGGAGGAGCGACAGGCCTGCTGCCAGTGGTGGTTCAGAGGCCCCACCCGCGTGTCCCAGCCTTGCTGAGAAGACCCCCTGCAACTGGCTGCAGCCTGGATGGTGTCTTCCTGAGCCATTTTCCAGAGGTCTGGGCTCTGGATTTGGCTTGAGTTGCTGGGAACATGTGCCAGCAAGAGCTGGACCCTCCTGCTGCTGTGGAACTCCTAGCCTGATGGGTGGCTGGTGCTTCCTGAGCAGTGTTCTACTGCATCACCTTCTGTCCTCCATGTGCGAGCATGTGCCCCAAATGGAGGAGGGTGGCCACTTGTACCCTCTCACCAGGCCTGGTGTTTCAGCTGCTTGCCATCCTGCACGTGGGCCACTACCAGACCGTGGTAAGTACTGAGTTCATGTTGGAGTAGAGATAAATGTAGATGGTTATGGGGATAAGTTATCTGTTATGTAACAAAATGTGCGTAATTTAAATAAACCCTTCAGCACCCAGGCTGTTCATCCCACTGTGCCTCAGCTGCACGGGTGGTGGGGACTCCTGTTCACTGGCAGGCACAGCAGAAGGGGACGGGTCCTGCCTGCAAGTGCTAGTGGTGGCAGGGCTGGGCACTCACTGCCTGGGGTACTTCTTTTTTTTTTCTTTTTCTTTTTAAAGAGAGAGTGAGAGAGAGGGGGACAGAGAGAGAGAGAATTTTAACATTTATTTATTTTTTCTTAGTTCTCGGCGGACACAACATCTTTGTTTGTATGTGGCGCTGAGGATCGAACCCGGGCTGCACGCATGCTAGGCGAGCGCGCTACCGCCTG